CCACACACCCCCTCCTCCTCCGCCTCCTCCTCTTCCTCTTCCTCCGCCTCCTCCTCCTCCTCCTCCTCCTCCTCCTTCTTCTTCTTCTTCTTTTGTTTTCCAAGACAGGGTTTCTTTGTGTAGCTTTGGAGCCTATCCAGGCGTTTGCTCTGTAGACCAGGCTGGCCTGGAACTCACAAAGATCCACCTGCCTCTGCCTCCAGAGTGTTGGGATTAAAGGCGTGTACCACCAAAGCCCGGCCACACTGTCTTCTTGTCCCCTACCTGCCCTAGCTAGTAAGCTGGGAGCAGGACCTCTCTGCCTCCGCAGCTCTTCTTACAGTTAGCCTTCCTCTCAGACCCCACTCCAGGAGCACACTGCCCTGGTGCCAGGCAGGCTCCCCCTGCTTCTCTCCTCAGAGCAATGCTGTGATCTTGTATGCAAAAATAGGTAGCTGATGGGGATGTCCTTCTTTCCTTGTTTCTCTTATTGGTTGATGAATAAAACACTGTTTGCCCAATGAGGCAGGAAGATAGGAGAGACTCTGAGATGAGGAGAATCTTGGAAATGTAGGCAGAAAGAGATGCCATGTGAGACCACAAGGGAGAAGGTGATCTGGACTCTTCTCAGGTGATAAGACCATGTAGAAATACATAGATTAGGAAAAATGGGTTAATAATTAAGACAGACCTACCCTATAGGAAGCCCTCGTCATCAGCCAACAAATTTATAATTAAATGAGTCTTTGTGTGTTCATTTGGGGCTGATGCAGCTGTGGGACCAGGGTGGGGGTAAGAACCACCTGCAATAGATAACATTCAGGCAGGCATCTTGGCAGCCAACAAAGTCAATGTTATCCAAGGTGAGCATCGGGTGAGGGGACCCAGAGCCCAGGCAGAGCCAGAAATCAGGTTCATGCTGATCATTGCTGCCTTCAATGTTACGCCACTGTGAAGTCACCACCAACAGCTGCTTCAGCTTTTTCATGGGTTCTGGAGATTTGAATGAAGTGGAATATGTCACCCACTTTGAGAAGCTTCGTTCAGAATTCAAGGAGTGGCAGAGTCCCTGCAGCAAACCAGGAAGGCCGAGACTGTGCCTCATGGAAGCCTGCCTGCCAGGAGGAAGGCATTGAAGACAATGCCTCTTGGTTCTAGGTGGGAATCTGGGAGTCAGAAAACCCAGTGGGGGAGGGGAAGCTGTTGCTGCAGAAGGATCTAATAAAGAAGTTGTCATGTCCGGACTGTGTGGTTTGGAAGGAATGGAGAGCTACAAAAGCAGTGTAAGAGGGTTGGGGAGTGCTCCTGCTATCAAAAGCAGGCCCCAAGGGAAGGGTCATCAAGACTCTGGAAGAGCTCCAGGGCATCCTGTGGCCTGAATGGAGGCCCTTGATCCTTTAAGACAGTGGTTCTCAGCCTTGCTAATGCTGCTACCTACAGTCCCTCGCGTTGTGGTCCCCCCTCCACAGCCATAAAAGTATTTTCACTACTACTTCATAACTGTAATTTTGCTACTGTTATGAATCATAATGTAAATATCTGTGTTTTCCTATGGTCTTAGGCGGCCCCTGTAAAAGGGTTGTTTGACTCCACTTCATGACCCACAGGTTGAGAACTGCTGCTCTAAGTTAGTTCACAAATACACACACACACACACACACACACACACACACGCACGCACGCA